GGTCCGGGTCACCGTCCAGTTTTCGTTTTATTCGTTTGAGGCGTTTCGTCCCGTTTGGGTCATTTCACGTCTGGAAGATATCATTTCAAATCAGTGCGGCTGCGTATGTGAAGAAAAAAACGCGTACGTTTATTCACTTTTAGATCGCTTGAAGTACACCGGTAAGTCTGAGAAAAGTGAAGAGAATGTTAAGCACTTGAGACTGGTCATCACCAGTTCAGTTAAAAAAAACAAAATTCGGCATTGTGTCTACGACATAACGCCTACATATCTTTGTGTTGCTGTTGATACTTGGTGCACTCAATAAATAATATGTTCAACCGATAGTGGGTGATTGCACGGCTGACAGTGAGGACGAGCGTGGCGTAAGTATATGTAACTATATGTGAGTGTAATGTGTCCAGTTCGTAGACGGGCCAACACCTCCTCCTTTAAACGGTCTTGACGTTGTGCTGATGCCCAACGGGTAGTATCTGCTTTGATATCATGAAGTTGTGTTCTGGTCGTAACGGTCAACTGTCGTAGTCAAAATGCTTTGTCGGTGTGCGAATCGAAAATTTCGTAGATGCTTGATCAACAGGGATCTCCATGATGTGAGGGGCTGTCAAAGCTTCCTTGGCCAGTTGGTCAGTTCACTCATTTCCCGCGATGCCTTTATGTCCTGGAATCCACAAACAATTGATGTTCATGCTCCGCCCTGTGCGTGTAATATATTATAGAGATTGACGATGTTAAAAGGAGGTGGTGAGTAAAGTCAGGGTAGACAAGAGATGGTACAGCTGCCATCGAATCCGGACAGATCACTACTGTCCTTGTTGTATGGGTGTGATGTTGAACGTGTTGTAACGCAAGAAGAGTAAATAATTCAGCCAAATGCACTGAGGTACCACCCGGTAATCGGCAATTTGTGTGGTAATGGTCACTGCAAATCACTGCACGTCCGGTGAGGTTATTGGCCTTGGAGCTATAGGTGTAATCAAAATTACTATTCCGATTATTGGCAATGAGGCGATTAAATGTGCGTTGAACATAACTTGTGAAAAAAGTTTGAGATCGTCAAAAAGAAACAAAACTTTTCGAGGGGCTAACTGCCATGGTAGTACTATTAAAGCAAGTGGCGCGGAAGAAGACGATAAAGCAAAATGTAGAGCGGTGCAGTAGACAGGGGTCCGAGATGCTATTGTAAGTCCTGACCGGCTTCTGCAGGCCCTGTGTAGTTGTGGTGAATGTGAGGTAAGTATGTATAGATTCAAATGCTGTATGATTGGGAATTTGTCGCACTTTTGTCATGCATCGCAGTGTGTGTTCCTTTCGCCGAAGCGCAAGAGGCATAAAGTGAGCGCCCACTTCAAGTGCTGAAATTGGGGAGGTGTGTAGAACTGTTTGGGTAATTCGCAAGAACATATTTTGAATGGTGGATAGCGGTTGAAGAGTGTGTTGGCTGCCTCCTGAAAATGCCACGGAGCCGTATTCAATGATGGGAAGAACTAAGGATTTGTAAAGACGTAATAACTTTTGACAGTCGGCAGCGTATCATAACCCGGAAATGCATCTAAAGAAATTTAGTCTCTTTAGGCATTTGGACCGAACATGCTCCACGTGCTGTCGCATCGACAATCGTGAGTCCAGTACGACGCCAAGAAATTTGAAAGACGGAGCGAAAGGAATGCAATGCCCATCTAATCTGAGCCAAGAATTTGGAGTGCCACGCATATGTTTGCTGAAAGTCATAACTGCAGATTTGGGAGGGGAGAAACGCAACCCGTACCGCTCTGACCACTGCTGCACCTTGTTTCGGGTGGTTTGGAGCCGTAGCAACAAATGGTCATACTCAGCATCCGAGCGCCAGATTGCGCTATCGTCCGCGAAAAGAGAAGAAGGAATGCCCGATGGTAATGAGTCAAATAAATCGTTTATCATGACATTAGAGTCGGTGAGATATAGCTCCTCTGTGGCCTTTTCGGAGCAGATCTCTTTTTCTTTTCTTCCTGTCGGACACTGGGAAGTATCGGCGCTGTGACCAGCACTTCCAGAGCTCAGACATGTTTGGGGCGATAGGCACGTGGACCCCTCGTGGGCGGTCTCGCCGCGCTTGAGGCATCTTGCATTCTGCTTGAAGAACTTCCTGCTGTGTCCGAACCTTTGGCATTTAAAACACCTGGGAGGAAACACCCTGACTTGATATCGGAGGTAGCCGGCTGTGAGAGCTCCTGGGAGGCGGCTGGTTGCAAAAGTCAGAACAAGTAAGCTGGTGTCCTGATGACGCTGTCCATTGTGGAGCGTGCTCAGTCGTCGAACATGACAAACGTTGTCAGCTCTAAGCTCCACGAGAATCTCCTCCCCCGTTATGAATCGGAGCTCAGGCACGAAGATGGTGTCTTTTGTGGTGCTTCTTGCAAAGTGAAGAGAAATTTTAACTTTTTTTGTCGCAGAATTCGGTGGTCTGGAGAAGAGCCTTGGTCTGAGTACGAGAGGTTGTTTTGATCACTAATGACCCATTTGCCGGCGCTTCGATTTCAAGATTGCGTGGACCACAGATAGCTTGAATTTGCTTCGATGGTCAAAACACGTCGATTTTTCTGAAAGAGACATTCTCGTCACAGGGTAGTACAACGAAAGAGCTGAGTGGGGCGAGAGGGGGCTCAGAGGTCTGTCCGGTCATGGTGGAGCGAGAGTCAGCATCGGGTGAGAAGGCACCGGGATGGCCAAACACGAGCGAGGGTCGAAACCAGGGCCGTTGGACGAAGATGAGTGCCGTCCAGACACCGCGGTGGAAGTGCTTGAGCCAATGCACTGTGTCTGAGGCGCGCGGGGGTCATCAGGCGAAGCGGCGGCCAGAACGAGGCTGACGGAACTTCAGTCGGCTACATTCAAGGGAGAGTCAGTGTCAGAGGCCGAGTTCTAGCCCGTGTCCGTGTCATCCTTCTTGTTCTTACAGCGCTTCCCCGTAACGGGGAAGTGGCAAGAGGGCAACACAAATTAAGTGAAAGGTGTGTGTTTCGAACGAGAGTGAACGGAAAAGCGACAAAAACGATGATGAGAAAATAGTATTCCCTGGGAGAAAGCCGCAAAGAAGCAACCGTTCTGTATCAGCCTAGTTTTGCCAGTCGGGCGTGGCCAACGAATGAGTCGACGATATGTGATGACAAGCCGTCACCGTCCAGGGGGTTAACACAAATGACGTATTGCGCCACATATTACAAGATGTATGTTCTTCCTAGTTATTACAGAAGCAAGGCATGCAATCGAATAACTTCGAAAAATCACCATAACCGAGTATGCGAATATAAGAAAACACCTTAGACTGGCGGTTAAATATGCAAGAACACTGCGAGACAGGGACAAAGCACACCAGCACCTCACGATATCTGGTGCAGCACACATCCAGCATCACCGCGGCTACCTCTCGGGAGATTGAAGAACTGGGAGAGAGTGCCGCCATGCTAACGATCTGTACCACAATCAAACAATGACGTATTAAGGAACATACTAGGGATATTTTGTTGTTCAGACCTGTCTTTTCCACGTAAATGTATACCAATAGTTATAAGGCAGCTTATTTCATTATATCTGATGCTTGCCTCAATATCTTCAGATGTAGAACATTCCCTTTAATGGTCGCAACTTTTTTGGAGGGAAGTAGGTAAGTGTCTCGGTTGCCGCCATGCATCGGAACATTCACAAACTTGTTTAGCTGATATATTTTCATTTGTTATGCCTTTTGCACAGCGCTGGTTATTGCAAGATCAGACGCATGACATAGCTAAACGTTTTTATTACGTACACATCAGTCATCTGGCGACACAAAATAACACCTCACGCCTCCCACAGCCCTCTTCCGTCTCAGCGCAAATCTCTTACACTGTTCAGATGGCGGGCGCTTTCAGCTGCGGGATGTCTTGGGCATGATCGCGACACATTAGCCTCCTGTGGTAACGCCATAGAAAGAAGTACGGCGAACTGTTGGGGGCATGAGGGCCAGCCATTCGTGGACCAGTTACGACAGGTGATGCATCCAAACATGGACAGGTCACGGGACAGGACAGGAACGGGCCTTCGGGCAGCTTTTGCTAAACGATCAGGGCCAAGCATGGCCAGCATGCACCAGGAAAGTGATCCCGGAGTTAACGCGCCACAAATCGGTAGCTCTTATCTGCCCCGATAGCTCAATTGGTTGGAGCGCCTGCCTTTCGCCCAAATTCTGCCGATGATCTGAAATCGCACGGTCGGAAGGTACGGCCAGGGCTCACACAAGCACTGCTTAGCGTGAGCTCTGAACCCATAAATCCATCCGTTCCAAAGGTTCGGATTATATGTAAAAAAAGGAGCTCGCTCCCAGCCGCAGCTAGCCATCACCAACATGGTGGCGCCGGTAACGATTAGGAATGCGTCATGTGCTTTGGTGTTTAATGCGTCTGTGCATGACTCCATGTATTACATACAACCCTTGATGATTCCACATTTGCGATGGATTTGCGCCGCTTCTGCATCCCGCGCACTTCAGACCATTCAGTGGCAGCTTGCCACGCCAGCGAGCCAATTGGGTATATTTATCCAGCCTTGACGACTGCGTATGGAAGTGAAAGGCTGTTTGGTGCTATGTCCTCAACAAGTTATAAAACGTGCGGAACAAGCACACGGGCCGAACCACGCACGCAGCGAAGCGAGCCCCGCCTCGCCCTCCCTCCCTCGCAGCCGGCCTATGAACGTCACCCGAGAATCACCGCACTGGCCACACCATTCACTTCATGGCAGATTGAACTGTTCACCCCGCTCTTCTCTTCCGCTCATCAGTCGCTGTCCCCTCCCCCTGGCCATCCCACTGTGTACCTTTCTCAGCTTCACTCTCCAGTCCCCCGGCAGCCCAGCTGTGCGCGCTCCGTAACTCTTCCCCTGACGCTCGCACCAGAGCGAACCCTCCCTCCCTCTCCCTCCTTCTTCGGTTCACGCTCCCCCTCTCTCTCTTCCCCTCCCCCTTCACGATCATAGCTCACACAAAGTTTATCACGACAACTCAGTGTATTTGTCGATGATATTTGGCCGCCAGCGAGACGGCCGGCCCGGCGCCTCGCCCTCAGGGCCGCGCCTGTATAATAAATAATACGCATACGATAACTACGGCCGTCCGGTCGGCGTCGCCTGGTGCCGGGTCCGGTCAGCACTGCAGGTACAACACAGCGGCGCGTGCCGCAGCCGCCCGCCCAACGTCCTCCAAAACAACGCCGTCCGCTCGGCCGCGCGCCACAACAACGGCCGGCGCGCGGCGGCGGCCGCTCCGCCGGGCGCGGCTTCACAGCTCCCAGAGCACAGCGCCCAATGTACGTCTATGTACACACACACACACACGCCCACACAGCTGCCGCGGTCCGGCCGCACTCCCAGCGTTCAGCAGCGGCGGCGGCGGCGGCGGCGGCGGCCGCCCAGCCCTCTGTCGCCGGGGCCAGCCCCCAGTCTGCGTCGCACCCGCGCGCTCGGCCGGCTCACATGGTGAACGAGCGCGACCGGTGCTTGGCCACCAGCACCTCCAACAGCTTGACCTTGGCCTTGACCTGCTTGTACTCGGCGTAGGTGTCGTCCATCTCGCCGCGGTCGTCCTTCTGTACCTGGTGACGGACAGCGGGCCGGGGTCAGCACATGGAGAGCACGTCCGCCACAGCCGCGCGCACCAGCGCCATCTGCCGCCGCGCCGCCTTTGGTGGTGTCTCAGCCGCAGGCCGACCGAGACGGCATGCTGCTACGTCCGATAACGGCCAACGCCTTATCCACACAGACGGGGGAAAGTGCATTAACTTAACCTGCTCACATAGGTAACAAGACGTTGCGTTAAATTTAACTTAACTTTCCGAGGCTTAAGACGAAGGCAACCAATCGCTAGCTCCCAATCCATCCACCGCGCGCGATCCACCCGACCCGAGACTGGCCGGCGCAACTCGGCTCACCTTCCGACCGACACTGGAGCGGAAGTTCTCCTCGAACACCAGCAGCACGCCGCGCAGCCGGCGCTTCTCGTCCTTGGCGCGGCTCAGCTGGTCGCGCAGCTCGGACCTGCGGGACGGCGGCGTCAGCGGTGTCAGCGGCGGCAGCGGCGGCGGTCACCGCAGGGAGACGAGGAGGCCAGCCCGCTCACTCGCTACCGCGGCCTCCAGTGTCAGCCATTGGGACACTGGCTGGTTATTGGAGCTTGCAAGCGGGTTTTACAGGGAACTTTATAGGGAAGTGTGGGATGCAGCCCAAGCCTGAACATAACAGCGTCAGGTGGTCGCCAGCAGTTCCTCAAACGTGCCGAGAAGACCGCAGATATGGAACCAACTGATCTCGGCTATATCATACGACTCAGCAAGACGCATCCGAGCGCCACATCGGCAGCTCCCCTCCGATGCGAAGTCGCCGAACCTTCACTCACACAGGCAGGTTGTGGAGGTTGTCGTCGAGCTGGAGACGCTCGGTGGCGCCGCCGGCGGCCGGACCGCACGGCTCCAGTTCGTCGTCGCGCTCCGAGATGGCGGGCCGGTCCGAGGCCGTAAACGTCATCGTCTCGTGCTCGAGGATCGGCGTCAGCTCGCCGATCGAGTCCCGCAGCTTAGGCTGTGAACGGCGGAGACGGCGGTGAAGACCGCGGACCACGCGGAGCGAAGGCCGGGGCAGGCTGACATCTAGCGGCCTGGGATGCCAGCGAGGCTGGCAGCCCTCGTGCCACCAAACGTCAGATGGAACTCCACCTACCGCCGGCTCCATATACAACACACGACAAAAAACAAAACACAGCTGACCTTACAATAAAAGCCGACAAGCCCGGTCAGTCCCCGTCCCCCGTCCCGTCCCGTCCCGGTCGCCGTACCGAGCCGGACTTGACGACGAGCCTCTTGATGAGCCGGTAGCGCTCGTACAGCGGCCGCACCACGTCCCGGTCGTGTTTCTCGGCCGGCCGGCCGTGCAGCTCCTCCAGACAGAGCAGTGCCTTCTGCAGCGCCAGCTTCTCGGCCAGCACCTGCTCGCGTGACATGGCGTCCGGCTCCTGCGGCCGGCCGGCGCACTGACGCTTCTCGCTGAGGCGCTGCGGCAGCGGCGGGGGAGGCGCCGGTCAGACTGGCGAACACGCGAGCTGGGCCGGCCCGGCATACCAGACGGCCGGAGAGGCGGCAATGGAACAGCTGGTAAACGCTTGGATTGAACTGCCACGCTGTTGCTGCAGCAGCCTAGCAACGCAGACGAGAATTACACGAACAGATAACTGGTAAATAAAGCAACAAAAACGAAACGATGTGAGGTACCCCCAACAGCGACAACAAACCCGTGAGGTCTAATCAAGAAAACTCAAACCAACAGCCGCCAGCAGCAGATGGTCCCACTTTCCCTCAGCGGCCCTCGAGGTCGCGAGTCTCCCCTGCTCCTTGCGCCGCTGCTCCTGTGCACAGTGCGGCCGCTGCTCACCTTGGTGACGTCGTTGACGGTCTGCTGGAGGGTCTGCTCGGCCGGCGGCGGGCTGCGGTTCTCCTTCTCGCCGGCCGGCGGCGCCAGCGCCACGGCCGCCTCCTGCTTCAGCGCCTTCAGGTCGCGGCGCGCGCGGCTCAGCTCAGCCAGGCACCGCTTCATCTCGCGGTCCTTCTGGCGGTCGGCGTGCGACGGCCGGTAGCCGTGGCGCCGCTCGAACGACTCCTCGTACGAGCGGATACGCTTCTTGGCGCTGCCGACGGAGGAGCGGGCCGACGGTCAGTCAGCTAGCGGCGCGCCGAGCCGCGTCATGAAGGGGGTCATGTGCTGCTGGTGACGGCCGCCGGCCGGCGAGACGGGCAAGGCGGAGCCACACACGCCGCAGAGTTGGGGGAGGAGACGGAGGCTGGAGCTGCCGACCGCTGCACAACACTCCCACGGCCGCGAGCGTGATTCTTATCGCGGAGAGCTTGGTTTGTCCTTGACTATCAGCAGGGTGTGACAGTGATATACTGTCTAGCAGCCGCAAACACCAATAATACACCACCTGTCGACTAACGTCACTGGAGCATGTTGCTACGACCCCCCGCCGAGAACAGCCACACACCAACAAAAGCCCCCGCATGACTACCCCGGGGCGCCGCTGGCCAGACGCCGCCGCCGCTCGGGTCGGCTCTCACCTGGCGATGGTCTGCCGCAGCTGGTGCGAGCGGGGCTCGGCCGGGCCCGGACACGGCGACGCCGGCAGCCGCTCGTTGAAGCGCGAGCACAGCTTCTTCTGCTCGGCCACGAACTCGGCGTCGGGCAGCACGAACGAGTTGCGCGGCGAGAGGATCACCTCGTCCTCGGTCTGCCGGGGCGGCGGCGCCGTCAGCACGGCAGAGGCACCGGACGGGGCGAGCCAGCCGCCGCCGCCCACGCTCCGTGGGCGGGCAGCAAGCAGCGGGCCGGACAGGAAGCAGGACGGGCCGCACCGCATGCACGCGCGTGTGGCAATCAGACCACTTCAACCCGGCAACAGCGGCGGTGTGCGGAAAGCAAGGCGCACACGGAAGTACGGGCGTGGGTCGACAACCCCCGGTGGAGCCTCACGGCGCGCGCGGCGCCGGCAGCACGCTCAAGCTGGAGCCCTCGTACAACTGACGGCCCCGCGTCACAAGCCATAATACTTAGGACAAACAGCAGGGGTTTATCTCTTAAGAGGATAATTGAGACCAAATACGTGCAGACTACAATCTTAAATTTCACCAGATGTGTACAAACCGCACTCTCATTACTCACAAATTTACACAAACTGCATCACCATGCATCACATCACATCGCATCACCCTGCAATCGCGCCGACGCCTCCGCACTGTGAGCAGGGTGCTAGGCGGCGCGTGGTTATGTACAGCTAATGACACTCACCAGCTGTCTGCCCTTGAGCACAGTGCTAGAGATGGGCTCCGAGCCAGCCATCGAGTCCAGGTCCAGCGGAGGGATGCCCTCAGAGTCAGAGAGCTCCTCCTCCTCCTCCTCCTCCTCAAACTCCTCCTCGTCGCCCTCCGGCGTGCTGCAGCTAGGCGACGAGTCCTGCCGCGGAGAAGTACCACGGTGAGGACGCCGCGCCGGCTCACGAACGACCAAAGCACAAGCACCGGATTGACCGACAACACCGAAACTGAAGCCCGCCCGTACGACAGCACCAGAGCTCCGACGATTCGGCATCCGAAGCTGAAAACAGCACAGCACAGCACAGTTCGGGATCCGAAAAGAACAGAAGCCATCGAAGGCCATCGACCGCTGGTGCGATGCATGCCTTCCGCGCGGGAGCTAGATATATGTACACACACACACACACACACGCACGCACGCACGCACGCACGCACGCACGCACGCACACACACACACACACACACACACACACACACACACACACACACACACACACACACACACACACACACATACATATATATATATATATATATCTATATATTTATATACATACAACATACATATATATATATAAATATATATATATATATATATATATATATATATATATATATAACACTGGAGCTAAATACGTGCAACGACGCCTGCAAACCAGATCGGACGGTTCAGCAATCTCCAGGGCGCGCATAGCGAGCACGCCATAACAAGGAGTGTTAAGGCGAGAACCGGTTGGACGTCGTGGGATCGGCTTACGAGATGCACGACTGCGCTGGCTAGCGAGGCGAGGGGTGAGTGAGGCTGGTTTGGATCACGTTCGGGGCGGCTGCAGAAGCCTAGGCCGCTTCTGCTGTTGACTCCCAGTTAAGCCTCAGAGGCATGCGAAAAACAAATAAGCGGTGCCCTGCAACGCCCGACCACCGCGCGGCGGCCATGAACCGCATCCGTCCGTAACCGCAGCGTCACCTCCTGACAGAACGCAGACCCCGGCGCGCTGCGGCGGCCACTCGCCCACCCGCCGCGGGCCGAACAAACAAACACGCGACGGCGGTCGAGGACGTGCCGCCGACGACAGCCGAGCTGTACCGACAGCGGCGACCGCCGGCGGGGGGCCGAGTCCGCTGCAGCCCCGGCTCGGCGCCCCAGCGCCCGGGCACAGATCCGTGAGTGGACGCCACGCTCGACTAGGCACGAACAGCACGGCGAGCCCGCTCTAGATACTGTGCGGCCGCTGCGTGCAGGCCGAGCCCGGGCTTTTGACGCCAGAGCGGGGGCCCTCCCGCGAACCGCCCGCACCCGGTAACCGCCGTAAAATTACCGCGTGATCGCCGCTTCAATGAATGCCCCACCGCCGAAATAACCGCGCCGAGGCGGAACAAGATCGCTTGGCACGTCTGGCGCTGACGAATCCGGGAAAGCCGCCGCGGCCGCATTCATCGGACCACAACATCGGGCTAAACTTAGTTAGCTCCCTGGTGCCGCCGCCACGCCAGAGCCTCCAAACATCAACCAATCCTGCCGGTGCGGCGGGGCCTCGGCAGCCGACACGGCTCGACACCGACCAACGTCCGGCACAGCCACGCTCGGGCTTCGACTCGATCCGGGACTTTGACTCGGACTCGGACTCGGACTCAGCGCCCAGCTGGGCTCGGACGCTCACCTTGCCATCGCCGCGGCTGTGTCGGCGGCGGCGCACGTCGCGCGAGCGGCTCGTCTTGTCTCGTGAGCGAGGGAACGTGGCGAGCCGTTCCGACTCGCGCTGCGCCTCGTGCCGGCACATGATCTGGCAACAGAGGGCCAGCGTTAGTCACGGGGCCGTAGTGGCGCCCGCCCAGCAACGGGGGCCGCCTGCATCCCACTCAGGCGGCGGCAAACATAGCACCACCCGCGGTGCAAGGTCCAGTGAACTTAGCCGCAGGTCAACACAGGAGGCAACGACGACGGCGACCCAATGGCGACGCCTCAACATAACAATGGAGAACGCAACAACCGAACAACAAGGACAACAACGGCACAACAGTCAGAAAACGGAAGAAAACGACATGGACGGTCACGTGACATAAAACACATCAAACTGGATTCGCCGGAATGACGGAAGACTGGGCCCACAGCCGTCTAGCAGCCCGCCGCCGCCGGCACCGGTATACTGTCCCGCAGCGCGGCGGCCGCCGCCCGACACACTCCGCCCCGCCGGCGTGACCCCCGCGCTCCCCTTTCCCCCCCCCCCCCGCCCCGTCACAGGCGGCCCGACTCGGGTCAGATAACCGGACAAAGCCACCTGTCGGCGCCGGAAGGATCTTTAGCGCCCAAGCCGGCGATGCAGTCGCCGGGCGCTGTCTCCGCCAAAACAGCTCGCACCGTCGCTTTGATGACGTCACACGCCGACCGCGCCAGGAGTGTCGCCACGGTCAGGTGGACGCGCGGCAGCCGGCTTTTGGGGGTTTTTAGCAGACGGGACGGTTTCGTCCATGATTAAGGACGTCGGTATCCGTCAAGACGGCCATCCGTAGCCGATAAATTGGTTTCGGCAGGCATTCCTTGGCAAGGAGACGAAGAGAGGTTTCAGCCAAGAACAGTGACGCAATGCGAACTTTTTTCCTGCGTCGATGCAGCAAATTCAATCTATATTCGTCTCTCGCGTCAAGCGCAAAGAGCCGTGTCCGACTGCCTTCCACGGCCGTCAACCTCGCGGCGCGAAAACATCGCCGACACTTATGCAACATGGAAGCCGGCACCATAACCACAAACAGGAAAACCGCAAGCATGACAGACACACTGTGGTGTTTGGACGGTTGAATGCTGTGTGCGGCAGGGGTGCCCGCGTCGTCACTGCACTGTTTCCGCCCACCGGTGTCCGTGTTCCAGGCCTGTTGCCCACAGTCAGCACCTTTGAACGCGGCGAGCTACTCCCAAACGCCAGCTTAGCCTGGCAAAACAATTTCGACGCTTGTTTCGACATCAGTGGTTATGCCAGGCCGTCCGAAATCAAACTACTGCCGATACTCCTCCAGTTCCCTCCTCTCCATTCGTCTCGTCTATCACGCCGAGCCGTGATAGTCCCCCATACGCTAACGCCGCTGTCGCCTCCAGCGACAGCGGCGATATCGCCAGTTCCGCGGTGGCGCAGCACCGCCGCCAGCATCTGGTTACGCACCTCCTGCAGCAGGACAGGCGGCGTGTCACCGCACTCGCTGCTGCTGCTGGACGTCGACGACGACTCGATCACCTCGTCCGTGTACACCGGCGACCACGGCGTCGGCAGGTCGTAGCCCTGCAACAGAGCGAACCACGTCAGGTCGCCGCCTCAGCTGAACAGGGTCCACCGGTCCACCGGTCCACCGGTCCAGCAGCCATCGGGTCAGCGGGTCAGGTCCACCGGCCATTGGGCCTAGTGATGATGATTACGGTGATAGTGATTGATGATGATGGTGGTGCTGATGGTGATGATGGTGATGATGATTGGAGAGCACGAATGCACCGGACGACCGAGGTCATGTTGCACCAATGGGGTGCCATGAGGTTCTGACGCGTCTCCTCAACTGCCACGCACAGCTCACAACACAGCGACTCGGAAGGAGAGACCACGGCGTCGACCACGGCTTACCGCCACGCCGAAAAACAAACACCGGAATCGCTGGGCTGGGTGCTGCTTCTGAGTACCTATCCGCACTTCCACAGCCACCGAAATCCCTCCGGCCGCGACACCGACCCTGCAGAGCCGCCGGCCCGCCCCGAGTCTGCAGCGCCACCGGCCGCGCCGCCGCGGTCCCCTCCCGACACGCACTGTCCGGCCGGCCCCGGCGGCCACTGCGCCGGTCCACTGACGTCAACCGACCGATGACGTCAGCCAGCGCATACCTGACCCGCCAGCGTCAGCTGGCGGCTGGCGGCCGGCTTGACCCCGACACAGCACGTCCAAGCCTGCCCTCCCCGCCGCCGCGGCTGCCGGGGGTACTCCAGAGGGGAGGGGGGGGGGGGGAGCGGCGAAGGTCGGTCGATGGTCAGGTCAAAACAACAAGCGTCTCCGACCCCCCAGACAAGTCCAGACCTGCTCGCCGACCACCCCAGTCATCAAGAGGCGGACGGGAAATTCCCAGGAGGGGACCAGGGGACCGGGGCGGCGAGAGTTGGGGAAAACCAGAGCCGCGACACCCGAGCCCGAGAGCACGGGCCCAGGGCCGTCCGGTTACGACCGGCCGCTGCACATACCGTCCGGCCCACACCGGGTCCCATGGCGCCGCTGCACGTATCGTCCGGCCCACACCGGGTCCCGTGGCGCCGGTGCACGTACCGTCCGGCCCACACCGGGTCCCATGGCGCCGCCGCCGCCGCTCTCCGTCCTCCCTCCAGGCCCCACACGGCATAACAGGCGGGAGGGGAGGCCCAAGCGCGGCAGCCTCCGCCCCTCGCCTGCCGCCACTTTCCTGCCCCTCCGGCGCGACCAGCACACGGCGTCGCCACTCGTCCGGTCACGGGGCGCAGGCCGAGGTCGAGCTGCGCCGCCGTATGACCGGCCGGGAGTTCCCCGTCATGTCACGCGCCCGACGGCGGCGCGTGACGAGGCGCGTGACGAGGCCCCGTTCCCACCGGTGTGCTATCAGCCGCATCCCCCCGCCACCGCAGACACACCCAGCTCGGAAAAGCCGCGCCGCTGTTGCAAGAGCGCCTGATAGCGCGCAGCATCGCTATCTGCCGATAGGGCAAGCGGACAGGCCGGCCCGCTGTATAAGCTCAGGCCGGCCAGTGCTGGGCTCACGGCGCCAGATAACCGACGCGGTGACCGGCCGCCCCGCCACAGCCTCAGCCGCCGCGCCGCCCCCATCCCCGCCCGCCTTGCCGGCCGTGACGCAAGCGACGCGACTCGCGCGTGACGGCCAGCGTCACAGGCGCGCGCGCCGCCGCCGCCGCCGTCACACGGCCAGGCCAAACAATACGCGGCTGGCGCGTGGCCGGTCTGCAGGGAGCAGCGCGGCACGTGGCGGCGGCCGGCAGAGGCGGCGGCCGGCAGAGGCAGCGGTGCGGACACGCAGGGAAGGGGGGGGGGAGGGGGTGCGGCGGCAGGCCCGGTGGTCTGGTCACCGCGGGACAGCGTCGACAGGCGTCTCGAAGTCACACCTCAATAGCACTTCCTGCCGCTGTCGCGCACAACAGCCACCGCCGCCACTGCCGTGGGACAAGCGCGTGCCCACCCTCGACCAAACACCTGCGCGTTCGCAGACCTACTGTTTATCTCAATCGTTCACGTGCGATGAGCACATTGTCAAAACACAGCTGGCTCGGGCTCAGTTGGCCCGATAGTTCAGACCGGCTGACACACAGCAGCCACACCGACGCCACCCAGCTAACAAACTGATGCCAAGCCGCCCGCCGCCGTTCTGAAGTGTAACGCACGCGGCAGTCACAGACAGGAGCACAGTCTGTGTCAGCCTCACAGGAGCGCAGTCTCTTGCGACACTCCTATGTGGCTTATCTATACACACAAGTAAAGTGCAGTCGCCTGAACCCACCACCACACCGAGGCCGACAGAACCCCACCGAGCCGCCACCCGAGGCCGGAGCCGCCTGCAGACGACGCTGCTCGGCCGGCCCCGGCGTCACCTCCGTCCGCCCGGCCGGCCCGGTCCGGCGGGCGGCGGCGCTCCCTCCCACCACTCACCAGGCTGGAGCTGGCCGGGCACGGCACCGAGATGGGCCGCGTCGTCTCCGTCTCGGCGGCGGCGCGGCGCGCGCTCCGGCTGCGCGGCGCCGGCGAGCGCGGCTGCTGCTGCGCGGCGCCGCACTCGCGCACGTCGTCGTGGCTGCTGGCGCGGCGCACGCAGTCGGCCTGCTGACTGGCCGGCCACGGCTGGTACGACCGCCTGCCGACACACGGCACACGGCGTCACTCACGGCACGGCGCGGCACGGCATCATCGGCGAGATGACAGCGCTATTACACACAGTTCCCCGTACAGCGCAACACAACGACCCTAGGCAGACCTCTGGGGCAGCAGGGCGAACGCGGGAGACCATACACGGGAGACCATACACGGGAGACCATACACGGGAGACCATACACGGGAGACCATACACGGGAGACCATACACGGGAGACGGTACACGGATGTAGGAGGCGCGAATCCAACACACGCTGCAGCAGAGGAAGCCAAAGCGGAAACGGGCGGAGCATGGCGACAAAGCAGCGACAGCGACCGGTTCGGTCTGCCGGACGCAGCAGTTTATGTCCCCGCTCGCCGGACAGGCCAGCGGCTGATGTCCCGCTCGCCGGACAGGCCAGCGGCTGATGACCGGCTCGCCGGATAGGCCAGCGGCTGATAACCGGCTCGTCGGACAGCCTAGCGGCTGGTGACCGGCTCGCCGGACAGCGCAGCGGCTGGTGGCCTCGGTGAAGTGGCCAGGCGTCGCGGTGGCGGTATGGGCTGGTGACCCGCTCGCCGGACAGCCTAGCGACTGGTGGCCGGCTCGCCGGACAGCGCAGCGGCTGATGGCCTCGGTGAAGTGGCCAGGCGTCGCGGTGGCGGTATGCGAGCGGAAATCCGCGGCAACATGCGAGCTGCTGCTGCGAGACCAAGCAGATAGGCTACATACGGCGGCCGCCACCGAGAGCCGGGAGTGGACGTCGCCGGCTGGCGCCGAACGCCGTCCGGCGACACTGCACGGACCCGCACGTCGCCTGACCTGGATCGGCGGCCGACTGACCGCACCACATCCGGCACCACCTCATCACCGCCTCCCAAACCCCAATTCGCCGACCAAAGGTATGAGGGCGACGTGACGCAAACGCCATATAACCCGGGGAGCGCGCTGGCGCCAGACACCGCCGAGCCCGGCCCAGCGTCGGCCCTCGCTGATCCCAGCCAGCCGCTTACGACCCCGGCTAGTGGCTCACAGGTCGTCGGCTCCGGACATGGCGGTCGGATTACGCGTCAGCCGGATGAGCGTAGCGTAACGAGCCTGCGCCCCGCGACGTAGTTACAAAGCTCACGGCGGATTGGTGGCGACCCTGCGGGCCGCCCCGGCCCGTGCTCAGCACTACCGGTCAGATGCGCCTCTGTTCGGGCGAGCTCCCCGCCACGGACGCGTCCTCTGCTCGGCCGGGGTCAGCGTGTGCCGCCCTGGCGCTGCCGCCGCCGCCGCCGCCCGGCTGACGGCGGCACCAGGTCTGCCGCCGCCAACTGTCACGCTTCGGCGCCCGGGCCGCCCAGCCGGCCGGCGAGCGTGCACCACCGCCAGCCGGCCGCGGCGAGTGCGCCGCTCCGGAGCCCACCCGGCGCCGCAGTGGCTGCCCCCGGCCCCGGCCCCGGCCCCGGCTCCGGCTCCGCCCCGGCTCTGAGAGCCGGACGGAGAGCTCTCAGCGGCGGCGAGACGCCGCGGTGACCGGCCTTGTGCTGCCCTCTGCCGGGCCTCAGCTCTGGAACATTCTTGACGTCCGGCCGAGCACCTCCAGCGCTACAGGGGCGGGCCGAGTGTTCCGCGGCACGGGCCGTGACTCGGGGGGCGGCCGGCGGCTGACTGGTGCGCCGGCCGGCCGGTGTGCTGGGGGCGGGGCGCCGGGAGAGCCCAGTGACAGACTCGCGGCGCTGCTCGGTCGAGCCTCGACGTCTGGAGGATTCGAGAAAACAATCGGGGGTTGGTTTAGTAGGCCGCCTGGGTTGGCAGGTAAGGAGATGACGGTCGGCTGGGACCACGGCCAGCCGTCGAGCGAGGACAGACGGGAAACCATCACAGGAGGGAAACCCCAAGCTGTACCTCGAGAATTCTCACCGAAGTAAAAACATGCCGAAACCTCGTCCAGCCAACGGAAGAAGCCAAACACGGACTCGACCGCTGCCCCTGAATCGGCATGCATCACAGAGTGCCTTCCCCTCCCACGAAGCGGCGTTGTTTCACAGCTCACCCTCGGAGCTATCACACTCACCAAAATGTGTCACCGAACGTGAAGCCCAGAAGATCAATCATGTTTGCCCGAGTGCTGACCACCATCAAACGACGCGTCAAAGCCGCCAGTCGACGAAATGAAACCGTCCGACCCAGACAGTCACCCGACTGCTGGCTGCCGAGGGCGCCTCCGACCCAGACAGTCACACAAGTCACCACCACCCACCCAGGAGTCGCTCACAACAACGTCCAACCCAGTCGGCGGCACCGTGGAAACTGCCGGCACGGCTCCCAGCGCGGCCTCTCCCAGCGCCGGAGCCTCGCCGCCGGCTCGCGTGACGTCACGCCTCGGCGGCCAATCGGCGCTCACGCCCCGGGGGGCCGGCTCCGGGGCGGCGGGGCGCCCGGCTCGGCCGCCAGAAGGTACCCGGCGTCACGAGGCGGCGCCGCCTGCCGGCTGCCGACACCTGAGGCGCCGCTGCAGGCTGCGCCGGTCGGACCTTGACCGCGGGACGGCCGCCGGCGCCCCGCCGAGCATCTCACGGCGGCGCGGCTGGCGGCGCCGGGCGCGACGGCACGCGGCCCGACAACATACCATGGCCACGTCCTAATCCGCACCGTGCAATGAACGCGCATCACATCGTTCCAGCTTGAGCATTGGTGTTGGAATGATGGTTATAGTTTTTTCGATGCCCTCAACCGCATCTCGCTCCCTATCATCCAATCTTCGAGGGCGCGTCCTTGGTCGGCCGTGCTAACGGCGCGAGCAGTTGACAAACCCTGCAGTCGAGCTCTTGCCCTCCCTCCCGTGGCTCGGGAGGCGGCCCAGCAGGTGAACCTTCCCGATGTGCGGCGGCGCAACGGTGCAGCGTGCTGTATCGCCGCTCGCTCCAGCCGCCCGGACACTTTCCCTCCGGCCCCAGTGGCCGAACACGTGATCGCCGCTGGCCAGCGTTGGACCGCGGCGCTCCCACATCAGCCGTCGTTTACACAGATGACGCAGCACAGCTCGCGCCGCGCGCTGGAGCGGCCGCGCTCGAGTCGGCGGACCCTCCCGCGCCCAGGTCCGTGACCACGCAGCGGCCACGCCCGCCGAACCCGGGGTCGGCCCGCTCCCAGCCGCGCTGACCCGCGCCCCGCTGCCGACCGCAGCAAACCCGCTGCCAGTGGGCGCCAGATATCCGCAGCCGCTGGTGCAATCTTACGTCCCAGCAGACAGCAGCGATGCCATGGATCCGTGCAAGGCGCCATCGTCAACGAGGCGCGGCTTGAATCGGCCCACCGCCGTCCAGTCGGTGGGGAGCGGGTCCGGCCGGACGGCACCCACGGGAGCCGGGCTCAGCGTCCGGTGGTGGCGACGGGTCCGCTCTCTGGGGCAGGAGGCGCGGCAGGCCGCCCACCCGCTGCTCACGCCCAAGGTGATGTCAGCCACCGCTGAGGGCCGCGCCCGGTGCCATGACCTCACCAGAGCGGCCCCAGCCCACCCGTCGGCCGGGCCCGGCGCCATGACCTCACCAGAGCTGCCCCAGCCTGCCCGCCGGCCGGGCCTGGCGCCATAACCTCACCAGAGCGGCCCCAGCCCGCCCGCCGACCGGGCCCGGCGCCATGACCTCACCTGAGCGGCCCCAGCCCGCCCGCCGGCTGGCAACATTGGGTGGCCGACTCCTCCGGAGCGGGAACACATCGCCCGAGGACGGTAACGGCAAACGAGAGCACCAGGTCACGGAGCGACCTTCCGTCCGCGGCCGCCGGTGGCGCCCGGCCGGAGCGGGTGATGTGCCACCAGGATGCCTTGGAGCTGGTGGCGGGCCCGTGACCACTAACTACATCGGCTCCGCACAGCACCGCAGTCATGCGTGCGCCAGGCATGGCAAAGCATGTGTACGCGTACAAGGAGAGGAGGGGGAGCAAGCCGGCGACCCCCACCCCCACACCAGGAAATCCCCATATCCATTCCGTTCACCACTTCACTGACGCCGCGATCAATCAATCATTCGCGCCGATGTCCGCCTCCGGCTCGCCGACATTGCCGTCACGTGACACCCCACCATACGGGGGGCGGGGGTAATTTTCCACCAGGTCGCGCCCGTCTTCACTTCTGCCGGCGGCGGCCGGTGTGCGACAGGTCCGGCCGGCCGGCGGCGGCGGCAGCCAACCACGTGGCCGGCTCGGGGGCGGGCCGGCGCCGGCGCCGCCGCCCGGCGCGCCGCTGCGTAGTACGCCGCCGTCGGCCGACCTCTAGCAGACAGAGGACGGCCGGCCACCGACGCGCGCGCGGAAGCCCGAGCAACAGTCGAACCCCGCCGCTTCCGCTCCCTCTCTCTCTCTCTCTCCCCAGTCACTGGGCGGTGAGGAGCGCCAGTGCGCGGTCACGGCAGGCGGCGCGGCGCCAGACCGCGGCCGGCGTTACATCACAGCTCTCTTTGACTGACGAGGCGGCGCCCGAGCTCGACCCGCCGCCGGCAGACCGCCGACCGCGCAGCCGCCGGCCGGTCACGTCGCCTCGCGCCTCCGCGCCGGGTCTTGGTACAGCGCGCCCTCCGCCGCCGGCACGCCGGGTCTCGGTACAGCGCGTCCTCCGGCGCCTCCGCGCCGGGTTTCGGTACAGCGCGTCCTCCGGCGCCTCCGCGCCGGGTCTTGGTACAGCGCGTCCTCCGGCACCGGCGCCGGGTCTCGGTACAGCGGGTCCTCCGGCACCGGCGCGCCGGGTCTCGGTACAGCGGGTCCTCCGGCACCGGCGGGCCGAGTCTCGGTACAGCGGGTCCTCCGGCGCCTCCGCGCCGGGGCTCGGTACAGCGGGTCCTCCGGCACCGGCGCCGGGTCTCGGTACAGCGGGCCTCCGGCACCGGCGCGCCGGGTCTCGGTACAGCGCGTCCTCCGGCACCGGCGCCGGCCGCACCGCCCGCGCCGCATTGATCGGCCCCGGTCGGGTCGATCTCGTGTCGAGCCAGGTCAGCTCCGGGCATCGATCTGTGCGGGCCGGGCCGGCCGGCGCGAGCAGCGCCCCACCGGCCAGAGGTGGACCCGGCCGGTGTCACACTGCCGGCCGGCTGTGTGACCAGACACCGGCTGACTGACGGCTGACGGCTCTGGTAGGCGGGGCCTCACACGCGCCCGGTTTCGGCGCGGCCCGACGGGCGTGCCTCAGACAGGCGGCGGCCCGCGCTGTCCGCGGCGAGCGGGCCCGCCCCGCTTCACCGCGTGTTTTCAGACGGCGGTGAAGCTGGGCGGCCGCGGGGCCAGTTCAGAACCACGCCCCGGCAGCCTCAGCGCGACGGGGACGCCGCCGGCCCCTCCCCTGCCCGCCGCCGGGGGCCCAGCCAGACCGCCACTTAACCATCCCAAGCGGGGCCCCACCATCCCTTCGCTGTGAAGGCCAGCCGGCCCAAGGTCAGCGTGCATGACACGAGCGAGCCGGACTCTTCACGGCGCCAGCCCGCGCGCCCAGGTTCCCACGCCAGACAAGCGGCGGCGGCAGCGGCGGCCCCGCTGACTCAAAGCCGCCTCAGCAGCCTGAACGCGACGCCGACTCGGGCTCGGACGCGCGCCTCCGCCCCCCCCCCTCCCCGCGCCCGCGCGTCTACGCCGACGCCGGTCTGTTTACACCCCGGACGGGCAAGGTCGCGCGGGGGTCAGTCGTGCGGCGGCCAGCTGGCGCGGCGGCCAGGTATATCGGCGACACGAGGATCGGGCGTGACAAGAGCGCCCCCGTCGACGGCGACGGCGACGGCACAGCAGACGGGCTCCGAGGCGCTGGGCCGGGCCGCGGCCCGAAGGCGCAAGCCGAGACCGCCGGACGCCATCTGACAATATACGGGGTTCAAGACCTACACACGAAGCTGGCGGGCGCCACCAGTTCACTCGAGACATTTCACAACCCCGCGAGACTTTATTTGACCGCGCGAGGTTTACGTCAGTGCAAACAGAGCGGCCGGAGACGGGATGGGCCACATGCTACGCTTCACACCCTGGCCGCAATAAGCGTGAATTCAACGGCGTCGCACGGGAAGGAGCGAAGCCAACAGACCGTTCGCTGGCTGGCTGCTCCCCGCCATGTAGAGTCCGCCGCCACTGCGGGAGTGACAGTTCCACTGCGTAGTAGATAAGCGTGCCAAAGGTCGTCCCAGGCCGTGATCCTGCCCCAAGGGCATTCCAAGGCACGCCGGCGTCCCAGACTGCGCAGCCCCCTCCGCTGGATTTAAAATGAGCGATATCGTGATTTAATAAGTTGCCTTATTGAAGAGACCGCCAGGGTACAGCGCAGACTAGAGCACGAACTTTCCGAAGACGTGCCCAGTACTCCGGGGCCGAAGCTCGGCCCGAAGACTCTGGGGCCGAGCGTCGGGCCGAGTTCGGAACTTCCATGCAACTCGTCGTGGGTCACCCGGTTCACTTTCGCTCGACCAAGCGCTATTCTTAACCTAATAACCACACATACCCATACAGAGTTCAGCAGATCGAAGGCCCCGCTCAGCCACCTGCAGCACTCTGGCAGCGGGAGCGCTCCTGACCACGCCTGGCCCGGGGCTGGCCGCCGCCAGACCAACACCGCAGCGTGTCGGTCTGGCGGCCGCACAGCCCGCCGCGCCGCCGCGCCCCCCTGGTTCAGCCCGGCCGCCCCACACGGGGACAGGCTCCACCAGACGATCTCGGCCGCCCGTCTGCGCCATCTGAGAACGAGAGCCGCGAAGCAGCTCTCCCCGCCGTTCGGCCTAGTACACCGGAGACAGGCTCCACCAGACGATCTCTGCCGCCCGTCTGCGCCGTCTGAGAACGGGAGCCGCGAAGCAGCGCTCCCCGCCGTTCGGCCCAGTACACCGGAGACAGGCGAGCCTGGCGGCGGCCGCTGCCACAGCGAACCGCTAGCAGTGCGCTCGCTCTGAGGCGCGCGCGGCGAGAGTCGTCGGCGCTGGTTGGACTGTCAGACCCTAGCCGTCTGCGCGGGGCTGACTCACAGACTCGAGTCACACGTCTCAGACTCCAGAGAGCTGTCACACGAGAGCGGCGGTGCATAGCATTTACAATGTTCTAAGCATTACCCGGAAGTAGAGCGGACAGGTGGTCGACCTCCAGCCACAGTCGGTAAAGAGAAACCGGGGAAAATTATTTCCGAAGTTTTCCGGTTGCAGACGGCGGCTCCCGGCCAGACGGCCGCTGGCAGACCACTTCCGGTAGGACCCAGCCCGGGCACCGGCCGCCAGCTCCGTCAGCGTTGTCACGCAGACACCGCGGCCAGACCACGGGCCGACCGGGCCACACCGGACCTGCTCACGGCCGCGCGCCCGCCCCCGCCCGCAGCCGGCGCCGCGCGAGCCTTTCCACGGGAGCGCCCGCGCCGCCGGCGACAGCGAACCTCAGCCCGCGTCGCCGCGCCAGTCCCCCAGAGGCGTCGCTCACGCCTCACGCACAGCCGGAGGCGTCGCTCACGCCTCACGCACAGCCGGAGGCGTCGCTCACGCCTCACGCACAGCCGGAGGCGGCGCTCACGCCTCACGCACAGCCGGAGGCGGCGGCGGCGGCGCGCGCCGCTCCAGCCACGCCGGCGGAAGCTGGGCGGCGCGGAGGATCCGCGCCGTCAAGGTGACCCCAGCCGGCCCACTGCCAATACGGCGGCGGCGGCGGCGGCGGCGGCAGGTACAGCCGCACCGAGACCTAACACCAAACGGCCGGCCAGGCACGGGGAGGGGCGGAGCTGAAGCAGCGCGTGGACGGCGGATGCGCGCGCCCGGTACAGCGAAGGCTCGGGGAGGGGGAGGGGAAGGGGCATTTAAAACTTCAGCACTAAGCGTCCGGCGGTGGACGGTAATGTTATCTCCGGCGGTGTCTGCGGCTCTGGCGTCAACCATCGCCCCAGCCCGACGACCGTCCGACTGCCTGCGCCCCGTTCGCGGACCACCCGCCCCGTCTGGCCCTCCTCCAGCTCTGCGCGGCAACTGACCGGACCTGCCCCGTCGTCTTGCTCACCTGGCGTGCGGCTGGCCCAGACTCTCGAAGCTGGTGGCGCGGCCGCCGCTGGGCCGCTCGCCCTCCAGCCGCTTGGCGGGCGGCTCGCCGCTGCGGTCGGCCGCCTCCTCGTGCCGGCCGGTCACCGTCGCCAGCAGGTGGGAGGCCACCGCCGCGTGGATCGACTTGTCCACGCGCCTGCCGAACAAGGAGACGCACCGTCAGCATACGACATCGAACATAGAGTATTGTCTCCAAATACAATCTTATAATCTCCAACATATAATTCAAGTTTTACGAGCCAGTCCCCGCGATTAGCACGAGCTCTTTAAGCGTTCAGAAGGTGGTAGGGGGTGGGCATCGAGGTTCTGTAGAGGTTTTCTTCTCACCCGCCGTCGCAGGCATGGCCCGACATAGCGCGGGAGCTGGGTCGCACCCCAGTCTCCCGGCGGGCCAGGCTATGGCGGCCGGCATTCACACAGGCGCCAGTCAGCACACATTCTGCCATGTCATGACAGTGGCATGCATCTTCCTCAATAATCGACAGCCACGTCTATTTGGTACGGTTTGTTTACATGGCTTACCATTACCAGTCGTATATATATATAGACCCCGCGGCGCCTTCTCTTCTTGCCAGCGTGTGAGAGACATGCGACGTCATTAGCTTCAGCAGATGAGCGTTGCAAAGTCCCAATAGTGAACATTCGTCGCGGCATGTGATGGAAATGGAATGTGTGTATATATATATATATATATATGTGTATATCTACACACACATATATATATATATATATATATATATATATATATATATATATGTGTGTGTATATACACATTGTATATATATATATACACATATATATATATATGTATATATATATATATATATATATATATATATATATATATATATATATACACATTCCATTTCCATCACATGCCGCGACGAATGTTCACTATTGGGACTTTGCAACGCTCATCTGCTGAAGCTAATGACGTCGCATGTCTCTCACACGCTGGCAAGAAGAGAAGGCGCCGCGGGGTCTATTTTCCCTGATGCGCGGGTTAACCAGCATGCTACCGGTACCCTGCAGCGAATCTGCCCACCACTCTACAGCGATGAACCATTGTCGACACTCTTGGAGAGAGCTGACCGCCAACAGCTCGGTCTGCGCCGCCCGAAAGGAGCCTCCGGTATATTACACTCAGCCGACCCTGCGGCCGAGCCGCGGCACGGCAATAACGCCCTCCAGTAATACACACCGCCCGTCAGCAGCCCTCTGGCCGTCAGATCAAGGCCCATCTACCAGCTGCAGCGCGTCTGAGCCGGGCTCACAGCAGCCAGGCAGATGACGGTCGGGACCTTGGACCTGATCTGGCCAGCGTCGGGAGGCCAGCCCAGACCCGCGGAGTCCGTCGCACGCCAGGTCTGACCCGGGCCGGCCAGCGTCGCCGTCTGTGCGCCCGCGCCTTACGCACGCCAGGTCTGACCCGGGCCGGGCGGCGTCGCCGTCTGCGCGGCCGCGCCTTACGCACGCCAGGTCTGACCCGGGCCGGCCGGCGTCGCCGTCTGTGCGCCCGCGCCTTACGCACGCCAGCGGCCGTCACCGAAACACGCACGCACACAGCAGGCGGCCAGACGCGCCGGGCCCGGGGTCAACAGCAGAGAGACAGACAGTGGTGCCTGGTGCGGCCAGCGCTCCGACGCTCACACATCGAGATGACAAGCGCACCTCGCCACCGGAGCCGACGCTCCAAATAGCTCGGATTAAACCCACGGCGAAGGGCGGGACGCCGTATTCACCTGTTTCCCTTGGGTCGCCTCCAGCGTCGGCGAGGTCGCTGACGACACTCCGACACCCTTTCCCCTCCCCTTCTAGCCCAGCCGCGCGTCCAGACGTCCCCTCCCCGCCCCCGGATCAAACCGGCCGCCATTCTGGGCCACGACCTTTGGCGCCGTCGCGATGCTTGAGGGTCCGGCGTGGGCGACGCCTTTACCCCGCCCACCCCTTCCCCGGCGTGGGCGCTGCGGTATCGAGCCGGCCGACGTTTTGGCGGCGGGCCGGCCGGGTCCCGCAGGAGACAGGCACCGCGACACGGCTCCGAGCGCCCCCGCAGCGGGAGTGGGGTGGCAGCTGCTGCCGACGCCCACCGTGCCGGTCATGACACTGGCGGCTGCTGCCGACGCCCGCCGCGCCGGTCACGGCACTGGCGGCTGCTGCCGACGCCCGCCGCGCCGGTCACGGCACTGGCGGCTGCTGCCGACGCCCGCCGTGCCGGTCACGGCACTGGCAGCTGCTGCCGACGCCCGCTGCGCAAGTCACGGCACTGGCAGGCCTCAGCACGACTCTCACTACCGAGTCTTGTCTCGCGCTCCCCTGATATGTCGATACAGGCCAAGAATAAGGACTCATTAAAAGACAGAGACAATCAAATCAATGACCTTTTTACTTAACAGACGTTCCTTGCTGGAACGCGAACGTTGGATCGCCATACAGAGTCGGTTCCCAAACAACTCTCGGGATTTCCACTGGTTGGTTGTAACCTTGAAGCCGGACAAGGTCGGCGGTGCACCCCGCCAGCTGCCCTCCGTGGCATCCCGCCGCCGGTGCCAATCGCTTGCTCGGCACCGCAGGTCTGCCACAATCGATGCCAATATCCGAGAGTAGCAGGCCCCAAGCCGGAGCCAAGCCCAACAGCTAAGCCGACCGTCGAGTGACAGCCGGCGGCAGTCAGCCGTACACCAGGCTCACGTGACTCTCCGGCACGTGGCGCGGGCCTCACATCCTGCCGGCGACAGCCAGCGAGAAGCCCCGCAGAACAGCCGGGCGCACGCACAGTCTGGCGCCGCTCTGCCGCCAGCTCTCCAGGCGCGCAGCGCGACCGCGTCCGGCAGCCTGCCAGGGGCAACCGGGCCGAAGCTGGTCATTGGTCAACAAACGCCAACAGGGCGCGACAGCCCGCTCGTCGTGGAAGTGTGCCGGCCTCCGCCGTCGCCGCCGCCGCCGAGCACGACGAAGAGCGCTCCCGGAAGGCGACGCAAGCCGTGCAGCATTCACCCATGGACGGCGCTGAATCACGCGGACAAGGGCGGCCAATCGGCGCCAAGAACAACAACCAAAAACAGCCACCGGTCTCACGGCCGGATACAAACGGCCATCCGCCTACCCCCCCCCCCCCCCCCCCTTCCGCCCCCTGACTCTATAACAGTCGGCGCGGCCTTGGCCTCGAATACCGGGCGGTGGGGGAGGGGGGGGGGGGGGAAGGCACCCTCTGGCTCTGCCATGTTGGTGCCCCTTCAGAGAGTGACCTTGTTCGCCAAGGACGGCCCACTGGGCGCTGGCAAGGTCCGTAAACCAGCACGCACCGCCCTGACACGGTCACTACGCGAAGACGGGGAACAAGAAAGGTCGGTCCTTCGTCATATTCAAATTTTCCATAACCTTGGAATATTACAGCAAAAACATGGAGGGAACAAACCAGTACTGGAGAGCCCAACCCATCGTTAGGGAAGGTCAGAATATTCCCAAGCTAATTATGATCGCCATCCACCCATTCGATGCGATTGACACAGCGACACTGACGGGCCACATAACCGCACGTCTCCGACGTGGGCCGCTGTCGCCGTCCGGCTCGCCTGTGCTCCACCAGCGCGGGTCTCCTCTAGGAGCGGCAGCGGACCCACTCCGTGGCCCCCTCCCACGGAGGGCTAAAGCCGGGGCGCGGGGCATGGCTGAAGGTCGCCCGGTGTCGGTCCGACCCAGCGCTCCATGCATGGGGCCACTGGAGCCGCTTCCGCGTCCCGACAGCTGCCACCTCCAGCATGCCACCACCATCTGATCCCGCCGCGGCGCCCCGGGCGCTGCCAGCGGCGCCATGCATACATGATGCAGGCGACATCTCAAGGCCGCGACCCGATCGGCGAGCTGCTCCAACTCTGCCGCCCGATATAGAACATAACGGTGCGGAAGTCGCCTAGCCGTGCGCCAAACACGCCCATCCGCACGCGACACATCAGGGCCGGTTACGTGTCACACATGCAGCACACGCCAAACGCGACACATCAGGGCCGGTTACGTGTCACACATGCAGCACACGCCAAACCATCCGCCGAGCCACACGGTTTCGTCCCAGTAAGGCCGGGTGCCGAGACCGACGCTCACGCGCCGCGCTGCCCCGCGGCAGAGCCGTCACCGGTAGCACGCGGCCCTCCCAAACCAGTCGGGCGCCGCCGCCCGCGTCAGCCACCCGTCCGCGCGGCAGGAGGTCTGTAACCAGCCGCTGACGTTTGAAGAGACCCGTGATCTCCGAGGAACGGTCCCGCCGGGCGGCAAATGCACGGCGGGTGCCGGCGGGGTGGACCCCTGCGCGTCATCCGCGAGAGGGTACGGCGGAGCGGAGGACCGCGCACAGTCCGGCACGGACCCCGTCGCGGCGAAGCCGGCGCGCGGGCGAGCTTCAGTCGGCCGCCCTATCCTCTCCGCCGCGCGTCCAGCTCGGTCAGCACCGGGCGGCGGGCACACACGCTGGTGGTCAGCCTCGCACTGGGGATAGCCCTCTGTACTGAACGATCAGTGCCAGCGCCAGGGCACCAGCACGTCAGGCGCAGCATGGCCTGGCCTGAACGGTCGAGTTTTCAGCTCAATAGACCTCCGCAGCTGAGCACGAGCATGGACCAGACAGTCCAGGTGCGACAACACAGCTCCATCGTTCCCATACAGCGGGCAGATACGAGGCCCATCCACTACGGTCACGACCTTCCCATCCCCGACCGCAGACTGGGGCGGCCGCCGCCACATTCGCGGGGGTGATAGGGGTGCCGCGCGGTGGCGGCTCTCCGCGGAACCGACGCCTTCCGTCGCATGCCGCGCTCGCCTCCCCCACGCCCGCGCGCCCGTCAGCAGACTCATCCCCGCCCACCTGCGCGAGCTCGTCGCAGTGTGGCTTCGGCCCCGAGGTCGACCGACCCGCCACCTAGCGCCATCCGTTCTGCGTTCTGGCCGCCTGCTGCGCAGAAGCCCTGACCAATCATGGCGCCGCGTGCCGGGGGCTCGCCGCGCTCATGGCATTGGTGAGTCATAATCGACACAGCGCGAGGCTGGCGGCTCGCAAACTGCGCCTCCGACCGGTATCTCCAGCAGATAGCGGGCCCCCGGCGCATGCCTTGTGTTATGTGCGCAGTTCCCTGCAGCGAACCAGTTTCATAGCTTGTATCGTTTTTGCCGGCTTAGATTACTTCTCGAGATGCATACATGATAGTAGCAAGCTGAACACGCCCTGCGAATCGTACCCTCAAAGCTTCTATCTCCGTCTCTATGAGCTCTGACCTAGAGCTATCAGCCGTCCTGATCTGGTCGCTGGCCAGCCCAGCCGCGGCCGCATCGTACCACCGGAGCTTCTATCTGCTCTGTCTCTATCTCCATCCCTGTAAGCTCTGATCTATAGAGCTAACAGCCGTCCCGATCTGGCCGCTGGGCAGACCAGCCGCGGCCGCGACCGGGCTGACCAGCACGCGGGCAGCAAGGAAAATCAGGAAGGCCCTGTGAGTACATGGAAACTCCCGTCTCGCAAGAGTTATCTCGTCAAGCCACAGCCCAGGCGATGGAGGGCTGTCAGACATATCCAGCCCCAAAATAGACAACTGCCCAGAGGCGCAGCCCAGTTGCGCGGGGGAAGGGGAAGGGGCGGACTTCCGTTTCTTGGTCCCGCGGTTTATTTTAATTTTAGTACCGTTCGGTTCCTTATGATACACATGATACCTTATGATCCGGACGGTTCCTTATGATACACATCATCAAGCACTTACGTCTGTACGAAGTAGTGATCATTCCAACAAGTGAAGTTTGCTCTTGGCTATTTGCGTCGGTCTTCTTACGCTGAGCTCTCAGTAAGCTCGTCCCCCCTCCCAGGACAGTACTGGCTGCGCCACTGCGCCTGCCACAACCCCAAGCTGGTCCTGAGACGTGACTGCACCAACGCAAATCTCCATGACGCGCGCCACGAGGGCAGCCCACCGTCCCCCTCCCCTGCTGCTCCAGCTGGCACCGGGACCGGTCCGATCCTGTGACCCCCACCTGACCCGGGCCCGTCGCCGGCCACGGCACCGACCCGGCGCCGGACGGCCGACGACGCCGTCAGATGCCGTCACGGAGAAATCGCCTGCCGAGAAACAGGCAGCCGGCCAGCGCTGACCACGGCCGTGAGCAAGCCCTCTCGGCCCGCTCCAGTTACGTCAGCCGGGTGGAGGGGGGGGGGGGGGGGGGGGGAGCAGCGAGGGTCTCATGGCGCCAGCTCTTGGCTCGGCCGGGCCGACCCGAAATAGCCGCCGGCGCCGCCCGCGACCCGGCCCCCGCGCCGCCCATCAGCAGCCGGAGCCGCTCCCAATCTCGCCGAACGACGCCGGCCGCGCGCTGGGAGCCGCTCCAACCGGACCGGACCGGCGCGCCACATTGCCGAGATGGGCAGCAAAGCCGAGCTCCCGGCTTGGCGCCTCGCTCTTCGGCCGGTGGCGAGCCCCGCGCGCCTCCACCCGGAGCCGAGCGGCGGCGGCAGCGCCGCTGCAGCTCCGCCCTGCACAGTCCCGCCTCAGCGGGCGGCCGCCGGCCGGTGCACAGTTGCATCTGCAGCTCTGCAGATGGGCACACGGCAACAGACCCGGCGACATCGGCGGCTCACGTTCGGCTCAGCGGACAGGTGCTGCTGCACCAGTCGCTCTCCCTCTCCCCGTACAGGTACAGCTGCATTCCCCCGGTACAGCTGCACCCCCCCCCCCCCCCAGCCGCGCCGCGCACGACCGACAGACAGCGTCGCCCCAAGACGGCGGCGGTCCTTGTGCCGGAAACAAAGCCCGAGCCAAGCGAGGGAGACGAGGTCACGAGGACACTGGCGGCCAGTCGCCCGGCAGCCAGGGCCGGCAGCAGCGAGGCGTGCAGAGGCGCCGCGCCGTCACGCCGCCTCTGTGACAGGTCAGGCGTGTGTCGCACGCCCGCCGCCGTCGCTGCAGAGGTGCCTGCCACGGCCACGCCGCTGCTATGTCAAGACGGCGTCGGCCCCCGCCGGCGCCCTGTGGCCGGCAGCTGACGGCGCTTCAGCGGTCAACGGAGGACAGCCCGGCGTACGGGCGGCTGGAGCCCTCACAAGCCACCCGTCCTCAGGGCAGCACGCTCGCCCAACGAGGACAGTCGAGCCGGCCGCCAACGGCCTGAAAGCTGACTGACAATTCGGGAACGACTGCAAGCTTGCTGCCTCATAAGGCGAACGACACTGTCAACACCAGCTTGGAAGGCACGGAGTCCGTCATGGGCTGCCCCCCTCCCACCAACAATCTGTCGTCACGCTCCTGCTGACTCCGCGTCACAACGCAGCATCGCCGCCAGCCGGCGCCTGTGTGGCCCGCATGTCCCAGACCGTCGCTCTGTCCCCTAGAACACACCTCGGGCGGCTCCCCGGTTCAGCTCCAATCCAACGAGTACCGATTTCGCCACGGTTAAAGTCCCACTCACCACATTTCCACCCGGTCCCCATCCCACGAGACGTACCGCTCCAGCACGTAGGGCGCCGAGTCATCGACGAAGAGCATGTCGAAGCTGAGGTTGGGGCCGAGGTTGAGCTGGTCCAGGTCGAGCCGGTCCGGATCGAGCACGCCGTCGGCCAGCTCGGCCGTCAGCTGCGCCTGCTGCTTGCCGCATATCGGGCACATGGCGCCGTCCGTGTGTCGCGCTGGCCGCGCCGCTGCCCCGCACGCCCGCACCTTCGCACCGCCCGGTCAGGCCGCCCGGCACGCCGGCCGCCTGTCCTGTCCGCCGTCCGCTGTCCGCTGTCCGCTGTCCGCTGTCCGCTGTCCGCCGTCCGCTGCCGAGCGCCGGTCGGCAGGTGGCTGTCGGCTATCTGCGCTGAGCGGCCCGCTGCGTCGGCCGTCGCTATGCTGGCTCTCCGCTCGCTGCTCGCTTACTGGCCGGCCGGCCGTCAGCCGACGACGTCAGCCGGGCCGCGCACCGAGCTGATGCAACGCGCCGGCGACACTGCCAGGGGCGCCGCCAGGGAGGCGGCCGCGGCGGCACGCATGGCACGCCGCCCGGCCCGCGACCCCAGCACGCCGAAAGACGGCGCGGAAGGGGGTGAGAGGATGCCGCCCTGTGACGGCGCAGGGGCGCGCTCAGGTCCAGCGTCGGGGGGGGGGGGGGGGGGCGTGGCGCACCTTTAGGCCAAGGTCGCCGGCCGTGGGAGCCGCCCCGTGTCACGCACAGCGGCGGCCGTGCGTGTTCCGGTGGGCCAGGGGCGAGCCCAGGTAGGTCGATCGCGGCGGCGCAGGACGCGCCAGGCCGTCCGGATTCGCCCGAGTCGTGACGTGACACGCGACGTGACGTGACGTGACGCTGTGCCGGGCGACCATGCCATTCATAGCAGCCGACATCAAAATTCCCCGGCTAGGCCGCATACAGTTCGGTTTTGTATAACACACCACCTGTATGTTTCATCATCGTGGTTGACCGACAGCATAGTACAACGGACACTTGTCAATTACCGCTTGCACATTGAAAATGATGACATGCCGCTAACAACTACTTCCAAAATCAAATCTGATCAGTGGTTACAAGGGTCTATGGGCGTCGTAACGCCAAATTCGCTTAGGTTAATTCCATCCCCATGTTAGATTCCACCAGAGCTACGCGATCCTTTGCGATCCTTCTCGATCCGCCCTCGAGATCTGAGGAGACGGGACCACGTCTAAGTCAAGCACCGCGGAGCACCGTCCTCATCTGAGCAGGGCAAGCCGGGCGCTCTGAGGACAACGGGACCACACCTAAGCCAAGTACCGCGGAGCACCGTCCTCATCCGAGCAGAGGAGCCAGGCGCTCTGAGGACACGGGACCACATCTAAGCCAAGTACCGCGGAGCAACCGTCCTCATCCGAGCAGAGGAGCCAGGCGCTTGAGGAGACGGGACCACATCTAGGCCAAGTACCGCGGAGCCCCGTCCTCATGAGCAGGGCAGCCGGCGCCCGAGTGCCCGTTAACACGGTGTATCGGAGTAGCCGCCCAACAATCCCGGCACGATCTGAACGTGACCCGAGCGTGACCTGACCGTGACCTGGGCGGCGGTGTCAGCCGTTCAGCGTCCATACGTCTGAGGAAGCGTTCTCCCGAATGCAGTGGGCGGCAAGCGTGCGAGGCTCCGGCCGTCGCGCTGTCCCGGTCCGAGAACTCAGCCCGCCCCCCACCGCCGCCGTCGCCGCCGGCTGTGCCGGTGAGTCACAGACCGCCGGTGGCGCTGGGGCGATGGCGGGGCTCCCGCGGCGAGGGCCCCGCCCAGCTGTAAGGGCCCCGCCCAGGCCTCCGGCTGTAACCGGACCTCCCCGCCGCCGCCTCTTCCGTCGAGCCGCCTCCCCCGGCCACCGCCTGGCCGCGCCGCCGCGCCGCCGCGCCGTCGCACCGGCGTCGCCGAGCTCGGCAGATCGCCGCCGTCAGCAGTCGTCATCGCTGAACCGGTCGGGCAGCCAAGGCCAGGGACTGGCACGGGACGAGCCGTGGACGGGCCACAGCCGCCGCCGCTGAAATTCCGCCCGCATCAAACACCCTCTGGCCTTTCGGCGAGAACTAGCAGGGCGGGGCCCTCGAATGCCCGTGTCGCTGATGCCGGGGTGACACCGCAGTCGGCGCACGCACTCTCAGTCCTCTCGCGGTCTCGCTGAGAACGGACAAACACAGCGCCTTCTCGACTTCCTGGACATCCCGACGTTCAGCGCCACAGGTCCAGAACCCACGCGCCCGTGTCATGCATGCGTAACTGGCATGCTATGACCGGCAGTATCCCTCAACGAAGCTCATGTCTTCCCAGTCGACGATAACCTCCTTCAGGGCTGCTCTCAGACTGGATCTGAGCAGGGCTGGAGCCTGTCCCCTCTCACGGCCCCTCTGCCGACAGGACCGGAGCCTGCCCCCTCTCACGGCCCCTCTGCCGACAGGACCGGAGCCTGCCCCCTCTCACGGCCCCTCCGCCGACAGGACCGGAGCCTGCAACCTCTCACGGCCCCTCTGCCGACAGGACCGGAGCCTGTACCCTCTCACGGCCCCTCTGCCAGCAGGATCGGAGCCTGCCCCCTCTCACGGCCCCTCTGCCGAGAGGACAGGATCCTGTACCCTCTCACGGTCCCTCCGCCAACAGGACCGGAGCCTGCCCCCTCTCACGGCCCCTCCGCCGACAGGACCGGAGCCTGTACCCTCTCACGGCCCCTCTGCCGACAGGACCGGAGCCTGCCCCCTCTCACGGCCCCTCCGCCGACAGGACCGGAGCCTGTACCCTCTCACGGCCCCTCTGCCGACAGGATCGGAGCTGCCCCTCTCACGGCCATCTGCCAACAGGACCGGAGCCTGCCCCTCTCACGGCCCATCTGCCGACCGCCCCCTTCCATGACCTCCAGACACGGCCACTCCAGACCGCAAGGCCAGCGGACCTCACAGAGCTCCGGATACAGACCGCGGGACACATCTCGTCCACCAGAGGGGGAAGGCCAGCACGGGGTTTCGTCGACCTGGGAATCTGTCGACCTGCCCTCCAAGCGACGCTTTAAAATGGAAAAAAACGTAGCTATGCCCCCCACTACACACCGACAAGTGGCCAGGACAATAAACTGCCAGATACAAGGCCGTTTCAAGTGCGAGTCCACACGGCAGTCTTTATCGAGACTTGACGGATTGCGGGCCGAGTGGGGCTGACAGGGGACAAGTGCTGCCAGTTTTAAAAAATTATGTGCAGCGTCGGGTGCGAAGTTCGAGCCGGTCGGCTGAGCCCGATAGGGGGGGGGGGACTAGTCGCCATAGGGGCCGTCCAGGCTCAAGTGCGCCGCCGAACCGGCATACGTAACCGTACGTCGGCTCGGCCCGTACATGGCTCCCTGACACCTGCGTGAACACGGGACGCCAGTCGCACCAGTACGAATACATGCCCGGTCTGCACCGGTCCTCACGCTGAACTCTGCCAGCAGCCCGCATCCTCAAACCAGTCCGCTTCAACCAATACCACATCCTCAAACCAGTCCGCTTCAACCAATACCCACATCCTCAAACCAGTCCGCTCAACCAATACCCACATCCTGAAACCAGTCCGCTTCAACCAATATCCACATCCTCAAACAACTCCGCTTCAACCATCACCCACATCCTCAAACCAGTCCGCTTCAACCAATATCCACATCCTCAAACCAGTCCGCTTCAACCATTACCCACATCCTCAAACCAGTCCGCTTCAACCAATACCCACATCCTCAAACCAGTTCGCTTCAATCAATTACCTGAGCGACGGCCAACCGGTTCGGTCCTAACAGCTTCCCTATCTGTCCTATCCTAACAGCCCGGTCTGTCGGCCGATCCGCGCCGCCGCGGTATCCAGAACCCCGGACGGTCCCGCCAGGTCAGGCTAGGCTACGTCAGATCAGGTCAGGCCTGAGACGCATCACCGGACGACCGCCCCCCCCTCCCCCCCCCGTCCACCGGCGGATCGGCGCCGCCGTCTGGGGACAGCCGCCCCGCCCCCCCCCCCTCCCCCCCCCGTCCACCGGCGGATCGGCGCCGCCGTCTGGGGACAGCCGCCCCGCCCCCCCCCCCCCTCCCCCGTCCACCGGCGGATCGGCGCCGCCGTCTGGGGACAGCCGCCCCGCCCCGCTCTCCCCCCCCCCCCCCCCCGTCCACCGGCGGATCGGCGCCGCCGTCTGGGGACAGCCGCCCCGCCCCCCCCCCTCCCCCCCCCGTCCACCGGGACAGCCCGCCCCGCCCCCCCCCTCCCCCGTCCACCGGCGGATCGGCGCCGCCGTCTGGGGACAGCCGCCCCGCCCCGCTCTCCCCCCCCCCCGTCCACCGGCGGATCGGCGCCGCCGTCTGGGGACAGCCGCCCCGCCCCGCCTCCTCCCCCCCCCCCGTCCCGGCGGATCGGCGCCGCCGTCTTGGGGACAGCCGCCCCGCCCCCCCCTCCCTCCCCCCCCCCGTCCACCGGCGGATCGGCGCCACCGTCTGGGGACAGCCGCCCCGCCCCCCCCCCTCCCCCCCCCCCGTCCACCCGGATCGGCGCCGCCGTCTGGGGACAGCCGCCCCGCCCCGCCTCCTCCCCCCCCCCCCCCGTCCACCGGCGGATCGGCGCCGCCGTCTGGGACAGCCCCCCGCCCGCCCCCCGTCTGGGGACAGCCGCCCCCCCCCCGCCTCTCGCCGTCCTCTGCCTCGGCTGACGCAACACGGCGTTGGTCCGCTTCGGACCCTCCGAACACCTGTGACGTCGCGGCCGGCCCGCCGCGCCGAAAAAACGCAGGAAAGCCGCAGGAGGGTCCGAAGAGTGGAACAGCGACACGAACGGTACCAGGGGCCGTACACGGTCATCGGCGGAACACGCGACGCAGACACCGCGACGCAAAGAAAACTGGGAGTGTTAGATGCCAGAGTCACACCAGTCCTGGCCTCTCACCAAACCGGCTGAATTACCAGTGAATATTGGGGAAATATATCACCACTCATTACGTAATTATCCATGTCTACATTTCTCGTTTTTGGGAGCCCGGGGGAATGTTACGGAGAACGCGTACACATATGCATTGGACAACATAAATGCCATTTTTCGGGTATTGGTGGTTAAGTTCTGTCGATAAATGCATTTACATCCACGGTGGCAGAAAAAAGTCAAAGCAAGACAAATTATCAATCGAAAGTATTCGTCGGTTTAATTCTTATGCATAAAGGAATGCATTGAGTTGCGGAACATTATGCAGGTTCTCAAAAATGGCTGGAAACTACGACAAAAACATCAAAGTAAAACAAAAGGGTACGCCAATGACAACAAACATAAGCAAATGGTGGAGTGCACATACTGTACAACGAAGTGTCATAGCAAGACAAGTCATTGTGGTCCGGTTGTTTTTTTATCTGTCGCACACTGCACGTGACTGGCTTCTGCTCGGATACGGCTGTAACTA